CCAGTTGAGGAAAATGTCCATCTCGCTCACAGCCTTCCCAACTGCAGCCTCTTTGTCCATCTGTGAAGAGAAATCCTGCTCAGGAAACACAGGCCACGTCCCAGTGACCACAGTGCTGAGCTAATGACATGAAGGTCTAAGGATGCAACTGGGCCTCAAACCGCTCGGCTACAGGGGCTCAGGGGCCTGGGGGCCGCTGCTTGGCCAGGTGAGCACGGCGCTGGGTACCACCTTACAGAACAAGCCAGATGGGAAATCTGTTGGCGGTGGAGATGAGGTCAGCGATGGGTGGTGAGCAGTGCTTTAAGTGAAGACAGCATCTGGAATCTGGTTAACTGAACAGTTTTAACCAAACAAGGCTGTGTACCTCGGGAATCTCCTGTAGTTCTCGCACGTGGTTTCTGCTAGAACTGTGACTGCAGGAGCACGGTGCGACGTTGCTACTAGTCGAAATCATTGTCATCGTCGAAGTAGATGACTCACCCCGTCAAACGTACTCCGGATGCTTTGCGTTTTGTCAGGAACCTCTTCTCCACAATCACAGTGCTCAGATACATGCTAAAAAAGAATGAGGGAGAAAAAGACACAAACACATATAAGCCCCTGTCAAAATAAGATGCCCCTGTAGTCAACAGCCTCACTGTATTCCACATCTGATAAGAACACATGAGCACAAGAACATAAGAAAAGGTTACAAGCCTGCTCCTAAGTCAGAAGCATTGTTTTGCTAGAGATAAAGGTTTGCACATTACACAAAATTTAAATGTTGGTGTCGGTTTTGTGAGCCCTTCAGCAAAAAGCATCTGCCTTGAAGGAACATCACCCCTTTGACCACAGCGCGTAGGAGGTGATACAATACAATGCAACACAATGTGATAATACTTTATTGACTGATTTCTCAAAATTTGTTTTGCATCTAAGCAGCTACAGCTGTAAGCAAGAACCTATAGAAATAAGCATTACATTAAAAATAAATATAACATTACATAAAAGACCTCAAAAGAGCCATTATGCTCCACTCTTACAGGAATTCACTGGTTACCAAAATCTGTATCTTTACTTCCTCCACAATCATCTTAAGCCCCTAAAATTGCACAGTACCTCCTCATTTTGCACACAACCACTATTGCACTTGCCCATAAACCAATACCCCTCTACTGTGAACATCTTCTTTGAGTGATTGAATGTGGGATACAGGAATTCCTCATTTTGTTACGTCTCTAAACGCCTGTCTGAAGGTGATGAACACCAGAGCTTTAGTGACTGAGAGAACAGCAGCGCCCTCAAGTGGCTTTCCTTCAAAATGTCCCAACAACTCCCTTTCAAGGATCTGGGTGATCATTTTCTCTCCACAGCGGCACAGCACAAGCTGGTCAGCATTGCTGCCCTGCAGCGCTGGAGCCCTGGTTTTTAAGTTCGGATCTGGGGTGCCATCTACGTGGAGGTTTGTGTGTTCTCCCCTTGTTTATGTGGGTTTCCTCCAAGTGCTCTGGTTTCCTCCCGCAGTTAGGTAGTTTAATTGGCTTCTGGGAAAAGCGGCCCTGTTGTGAGTGGGTGAATGTTTGTGTCTGTGTGTGCCCTGCGATGGACTGGTGTCCCAACCATGGTGTACTCCGCCTTTTGCCCTTTGCTTGCTGGGATAGGCTCTGGCTCCCCTGCAACCATGAACTGGAAGAGGCATTTATAAAATGGATATTTTTTCTCTCCGGTCTGATCCTACTCACAGGTTCCTGGGACTCACTGCCTAAGCCCTGCCCGGGTTCTCCTGTAGCTCGTGCTGCCCCCCCTGTACTTACACAATTCTCAACGCTGCGTGCCAGCAAGAGAAGCCCATTGCCCAGCCGGCTAGCGTGTCTCCTAACGTGTGTAGGAACGCCCCTGAGATGAGGAAGGACACTGTCAAGGTAGAAGGCCAAAAGCTGCTTCAGAAAACAGCAGCTCTCTGCTGACTGTGGAGAAGAGGAGAAATTGCTGTATTAGCAGGACTGATGCGCCATACCAAGACACAGGGACAACCAACCCCGACACAAAGGATTACCAGCCAGTGGCTTTGTGCAATTTGATTTCCAGTGTTAAGGTTCTCGTAAAATACCCTTCTGTGGCAAGCCTTTGCTGCAACTATTGAACCAACAGAAGCAGATTTATGAAGCAGGGTTCATGAGTTGGCCACGCAAAAATAAAAACTAGATTTTCCTAGGCAGCAGAGCACCCTTTGATATATGTTTCATTATACACCTTCTTTTGCTTTGTGTGTGATTGTGCAATACATCTTGTGACATGTTAGAAATGTTATAAATGCTACACTGCCCCTTGTCAGAAAACAAATTAAACTATGGTCATAACAAGGACCAACAAGGGAAGCTCCTTGCAAGGTTCTCACAATCCAGAGCGTTTGATTTCAAAGCCACTGGAAAGATCAGAGAGTAACGCCTACCCTCACACTGTCCAAGGTGCCAATCTTCAGGAGAAGAATTGTCGGATCTCCCTCAGACTGTTAGAAAAGAGAAGGAAGTCAGTCAGAATAAGACAAAGACATTCAACAAGAGAAACAATGATTAATCTCTGTACCATCTCAAGTAAAGCCATATAAACTACTTACAGTATATACAGTACATAATAATCTACAGATTCAGTATTCTCTGCATGTTATTTCTTTGAAGACAAAACTAATAACTTAATTTTAATAACTCAACTTTGCTCCCAAAAAATATAGACGCATTTAAGTTACATTTACCAACTTAACAATAAAAAAGGCAACAAAAAAGTGAAAACACAGTGCCTCCTGAGTGGCCAAAATATGCAAGCCACATAACTGGCTACTCCAAAACAGGGTGGGCATAACAAATTATTAATTGGAAATCCTACATTTTAAAAATGAAAATTCTAACCCATACTGCACTTACAATGTGACCCTTAATTCCCCTGATGGTTTCTTCCAGGTCGTGAATGGGAACACTCAGGACACAGTTCCCAAAATGCACCAGCTTTCCGCCTTTTGCTGGATAGGCCATCACTGGCAGAAGACACACAGAGAGGAGGAGGAGGGAGACGGCACTGATCCTCATAGTTCTGGAAAAATAAGTTTGTCAGAGCTAAGTAAAAAAAACTTGCAGATGTCCTGTACATTGAACCGAGGTCCCGTGTCTGAAATCCAACGGAATGTATAAACTATCACTTGAGGGCATTAAGCACATGAGACATGCACAAAGTTAAAGATTCTTAAAGTTAATAAATTATGCTTATCAAATTCATCAATGGCAGCCATGAATTTGATACATGATTTCTATACATGGTGCTTGTGATATCTGCATGTGTTCCTATCTGAATTGCGTATAAGTATAAATTATATATATTATATATTAAAATGATAATTTAATTAGTTTTTTTTTTCTCCAGAGAGGGTCAAATTAGAACATTACTGAGGAATAGTGCCAAATGCAAGCTCAAGTGTCGACATCTACTGTACAATTAACAAAACCACAAGCGACACAGCAACTGCAGGAGATGAAGAGAAGCCTTGTCACACATTAAAACTAAAATTAAAACCAGACCAAGCAAAATGTGCCTCACGCCTGTATGTGTACAGCTATAGCAGACATCCCTGTTTCTGCATGTGCACTAGACACTGATCAACAGGCAGGGCAGATAAATGCCAGGGTATTGTACATGTCTAAAAAAGCTAGCTGTCACTGTTAGCTTCATACAGCTTTCTCTCAACTTACCTGTGTTTTGCTCCTCTGTGTTGAATAGGAGCGGTTCACAGATCTTCCCCTTTCATCCAGTTCGCTCTCCACACCTGTCTTCAGCTTTTTTATAGGGGACCTGCAGTCAGGGGGATTTTTTTTTCTCAGGTGGAAATTGTATCCTTTGATTTGCATAGTTTGTATTTGCATTCACTTACTATAAGACTGATCTCAAGCCAGGTTTTCAAAATTCCTCAATACGCGATATTAATTATGAGAAGGGGCAAAACTTCTGGGCATAACCCAGGTATTTTTCTTCATGTACCTCTAACATTTACCCTGATTTCATTCCACATAGAATATTTATTATCTTCATATTTCTGCCCTGGTCCCGAAATGCCACCATCCACCATATCTTTTCGGCTACACTGAACTCAGCAATCTCTCAATATTTTTTTATTTTAATTTTTTAACCACTGAAGGAGTGCAGAACAGTTTAAAACAGTTTAGAGGTCATTTGAAATGAAAATATCAATATTATATAGCTCTTTAGGAAAACAACATGCGATCCATAATTTAACAGAACCATGAAAATCAAAACACACGAGCTCCAAGCTTTACGAATTAAAGATTTAAAATTGAATTATCAGACCTGCTGGGCTGTGACTACTGGAAACAGGACTGGGCACCCCAATATAGTGTATGGATATATGTGTTTACAGAGGGTATTAAAAACCTAACAATGCTATTGGTTGCAATATTCTGCAATATTTCTCAGTCAGCGTGCATATAATTACACTAATAAATAGGACATCTAAATAAATAAAATTATTTGAGGTTTTTTTATGTAAAAAAAATATAGGCAATAGTGTTTTATTCAAAGGTGTAAATTTAAATCATTATAATTATGACTCAAACTTTTCAGATTTTGTTCAGAATATCATGTTTCAACACGGCAGCAGGGGTCTGTGTACATTCTAAATTTCCCCTGGTTTTTATCACATTTCTGTATTTTTACACAATGTTGAAAAGGGATTGGGGAAGTGACTTACGTTCCCACCCCCCTCCCTGCCCCTCTCACCACCATAGAGAAAGAGGGGAGGTGAGGCCCAGGACACCACCATGATGGAGCCCTCTCCTCCACACGCCACCACGCTTGGAAATCTGTTCATCACACTAGACCTGCAGCAGAGTAACACAGGGCATGTTTGAAAACATATTCACATTTCACATATTTAAAAATGGGTGAAATGTGAATAGACTTTATAGCTTTATTTCAGATGACTACTGGCATTTTCAAAGCACATAGTAGTAGTAAAATAGTGACTCCAGTTTAAACTACTTTGTTTTTGCCTTGCATTAAAATGTGACGCATAGTACTGGACTTAGGATCCTTAAGGTCAGCGTCTCAGTTTAGTACTTTTTAATTTATTTCTTTATTGACAAGCGCTGAAAGGGGAACATGAAAGGAGTTAAGGCTGACAGTTTGCATCCTTTTAAATGTTAAATGCTCCATAACAAATCTGTTACAACAATAAACATAAGGCTGAGCATTATGCCATGATATGCCTTGTTTCGGAAGAAGGGAGTTGAGTTAAAGGTGAAGGAACGAATGAGGGGGGTTTAATCTTTTCTGAGGTTTGTAGGGGGCCAACTTCACGGCGCTCCAGAACAACCATGAGAGAGTTTGTTCTATTGAATCCTAAACTAATATTTTTTCTAAGTGACCTTCGATCAAATTTCAGGATGTTGAACCATTTTAATTTGAGCATAAATTAAATTAAATCACTTTCATTTAATTTTTTACAAGCAAAAGCCACAGTAAACGTCTCACACCAACAGCAGGTGGCAGTATCTCCATCACCAAAACAGGGCTGAACTGCCACTACGAAGTCAAACCATCAGTTTTACAGAAGTAATACAGCTGCAGTTGGCAACCTTGAAGAAAATGGTTCAACCAAACACAGATTCCAATCAATGAACAGCATTGGCAATATATAAGGAGACATGGGTTAAAACAGGTATGTAAATATGCATATACTGTACATTTAATGATTCATGAATTGTTTTCATGTAATCTATGTGAGATGGTATTTAAATGGACAGGGTGTTAAATCTATAGAAAAACTTTGAATAGAAGGAATGTACAACACTGACCAACGTGAACAGAGAAGAATACAAGAGGAGCTGTTTCCAGTAGTCAAATTCCTCAAAAGCACTGACAAAGCTGATACAGTAGACTTTTTCAGAATCAAGAGTGAAAAACAAACCATGGGGAACAAGTGGAAACTACAATCCTTTGATTTGCATAGTTTGTATTTGCATTCA